CTCATCTCATCTCATCTCATCTCATCTCATCTCATCTCATCTCATCTCATCTCATCTCATAGCATATCATATCATATCATATCATATCATCTACCACATGTTTATCTCAGGCTCGCAAGACGGTGAGCCGAGGATGTGTTCGCATAATCCAGCGTTATTCACTTCAAGACAATCATCTTTCAGTTTCCGTTTCTAGACGAATACATGAATTCGGTCCAATCAACTTTCCATTGAATTGAGAAGTCATCATCAAATTCCGAAGTAGATATTCGAGACTTAGTTCGCTTTCATGCAATTGTACATTTCTTCCGGCCCTCGACCGACCGATTAGTCGAAACTGGCCAAATTCCACGGCGAAAAACCCAAAAACGACATTTGGACTAACATGGTCGGCCTCGGTAAAACGCGTTCGGGACTCAGTTTTGTGACATCGTCTTTGAAAGAGAGCTTTCGGTTCGAGGCTTTGTGCTTTTAGCAGAGCGACTGGGGATTGTCAGAATCGGACTCAAAGACTACCACCGACCAGATGCCCTCTCATCACATGATTGTTGCCTAGTCTTGCTAGTCGTCTCTTCCCTTGACCTGTACTGCCCTATCTCCTCCCTCTCCCTCACCCACTCCCTCGCCCTCCACCCTTTTTTCACACCCACACCGCCCAGCCTGTAGCAAGGGCCAGTACGGACCGAACTGCCAGTCGAAGTGTGACTGTGGTCCAGGCATGGTGGCTTGTGATCCGGCTGATGGCTCCTGTCACTGTGGCGACGGAAGCGTCGGCGGACGGTGCGAGATACGTAAGCAATTGCCACTTTTCTTCACCTTCTTCTGCAAACATTGTCCCCATTCGGTCTACTGTGGGCTCGTTGAACTGAAATTGGCTTTGTGCGAAAGCAGGCATGTGTGCATAGGTTTGATGGGGAGATTGGCATTTTCACACCTCGCCAGAAGACCACAACTCATTGCTTTCGGTCCAGCCAGTGCCTCTTCACTTCCTGTCACAAATAGACCCCCTAACAGAATTCAGCAGAGCGTACACACCAAAAATTCATTTTCAGCATAATTTCAATAATCATATGAGCTGTATTCACCCCAGTTCGTGTAATGTGACGAAGGACTGGCAGTTGAATTTTCCCACAATCTGACGAGTAGAGCTGATATTTTGCATTGAACTTCACATGACGATGTAGCGTTTAATCTTGGCACATTAACCACTGAACCTGTGATTACCAAATTGTGCGCCGCGAAATATTTTAAAAGCTTCAATTTGAGAATATGTGCAATGATATGCAGGCTCATCCATCGCATAAATGATAAATATTAATTAAGTGTTAATAAAGTAAAAAAACAACAATGAAGATACACGAGTTTTATTTATTTATATCTCTTTCTTACGAATAGTCATACTTAGGCTAGGGCGCCATAAAAAAATGTTAATTGAAAAAGGGCGCAGCGACTAGGAAAAGTTTAGGAACCACTGCACTACACCAGACTTCCACGTGACCCCTTGGGTCAAAGGGCAAATGTGAATTTCAACGAAGGTCAGTCCTTTTCCCATGTCACATTCTTTGATGGGATTGTCGATGAAGCAAAGTGACATTTGCTATAACAATCCAATGCACTACTAATTTTCGTTTGAGGACTTTGAAACTACCAGTAAATCAGTTGGATGAGATGCATGTAACTACCAATCCTTCATCACCGTTGCTGGTAGACTCGGAAACCTAAATATGAACGTAAAATAATTCTAAAGAATTAAGTATTGTTTTCACCCAATTTCGTTTTAAGGTAATGAAGGACTGGTAGAAGAAAATTTTTCCCACAATCATATGAGTTTAGCTGATGTTTCCATTCAATTTCACATAGACTTGCCTTTATAAAAGTTGTTCCCATCCAGGCACCAATGGACTGTAGTTTCGACATCGTATCGGTCTTATCAACACCCTCAGCGGGACTCGAACCGCGACAGTGCAGGATGGGAGCTTGACAAGCCAAACTGCTACGATTGTGGGAAAATACTTATTCTACCAATCCTTCGTCACCTTAAAACGAAATTGGGTGAATACATCTCATATTCATTCTAAAGAGCCTAAACTTTGGCTCAGAGTCATCAAGGCGTGACCGAGATTGCGTTATTCATTAAATAACTCGAATAGAATTGCTGAGATGCAAACATGTAAGTGTATAAGTAAAAGCACGAACCACAAGTCATGAACCATCGGTCTGAAGTCATCAGTCTTGAAGGGTTCACGGTAAAGCATGACTGGGATTGCTTAATCTCGTAGCTCAACGAGACTGTCGAGCGAGTGTGAATTTGGTTAAGACACTGACCCGGCTGACAAGTTGAGTCTTCCTCTCTTTTTTTCTGTACCTGCTCCCTATTTCACCTATCTCATTTGAAAGAATATATTACGACAAGAGTGGAACATGTAAAAAGATGTCAGCTTGACAAAATACACCTTTTGTTCATGTTAAAGTATTTGGAGAAGGGACTCGAAGGTCCATCACACGCGAAGACGACTAACAGCCGATTACTCTTGACTTTCTGTCGATTGACTTTGCAAAAACCTTTTTGTTGGCATCGTCCTCGAGGCAATCTCCTCCGATTCCGGTAGGAAAAGACTAGGCTTTCGTCCGTCGTATGACGGAAATCATTAGAGCAAGGAGGTTATCATTTCTACAACCATATTCAAGTTATCAAATATCTAAGCTCTTTGACGAGGTATAATGTACTTTGATTTGCCAAAGTCCAATACCAACTTCGAAACATGTGAGTGTCTGTCTTTGTGTATTAATGTGCCCTCATGTGTTTGTATATTTTGGAAGCCAGTAGTGATGGATCAAACTAACGAGCACAAAAAGTAAGTTCTGCGCTCAGCCATCAATGCTTGACGACCAAAATTAACGCCTTTCATATAAAAATATACTTTATTTATTTAAATCATCATTTCGATTTCGCAAAGTCGGACACACGTTTGGCCATTAGGATGAGCTTTTGTCTTGACATGAGAGAGAAAATGAATTCCTCACTAAAGAGATATTATTATTAATTAAGTCTAAAGGATGATTATTTTTAAATGAAAAAAATGTTTCAATATTCCTAACTCTTTGGTCAGATGATATTCATCCGCTTCTTTATGCTTCTAATAATAATAGGTTATGAAATTCCAACCTTTATTTTGCAAATATGGTTAAAAAGAAAATTACGATCAAAGTCACATATTCCGGTTTCTTATAAACATCTTTCCTAATAATTTTTCGTTATTGAGTAGGTTTTCGAGACCACCAGTAAATGAAATATATGAGATGCGTGTGGTAGTTGAATTTTCCCACAATAATTTGTGTAGAGCTGATGGTGCCATTGAATTTCACAGAGCCTTGTATTCCCAAATGCTGTTCTTATCCCAACTGTAGTGGACTGCAGTTTCGACCTCGCACAGGTCTTATCCACACCACAAGCAAGAGTCGAACTATGACGGTGCAGCGTGTAACTTGACACTACTACACCAGATTGCCACAAATGCCGCTGGGTCACAGAGCATATGTGAATTTCAAGGAATGTCAGGCATTTTTCATATCACATTCTGTTTTGGGATTGTCGGTGAAGCAAAATTATATTTGCTTTAGTAGTTGACGATATTACTTTTTCGTTAGTGAGTAGGCTTTCGAGACTAACATTAAATCAGATATATGAAATATTTCTTACGCAATAACCATAACATCCAGAAGGGTAATCTCTTTGCGAACTTGAAATTGTTTTAAGGCTGGTCATCTGAAAACAGGAAATTACGCCACGTCAATTAATTTTGGGCAAATTTAAGTAGCAGGCCTTAGCTCTCCTTACTTGATCTAGGTCGACAAAGATCTTATTCAAGCATTACTGTTAGTTTCAAAGAGTAATAACATCGAAATCGCCATACGAATTTAGGCCAGAGGTTTGGGCAACCCTTTTACCGAGAAATAAGGGTCTCGATGCTGACTGGACCGATTTCTATTTTCGCTGATTTGCTACGAATGTCGCCAAGGCGGTGGAACAACTAGTTGATTTACTTCTTTATCTTTTTTGCATTTCAGAAAACGATCCGGTGTTGACCGAAATGGATCAATGTAAGTGAAAAACTTTTCTACTTTTCCTTTATGAGTAGGTGCTTGTCGTCAGGTCAGAAGCGGACAAGATGCACTCTTTCTCTACATCTTTGTCTCTGTTTCTCTCACTTATAGTTTGCACGTCTTAGATATGAAGACCGAGATGATGTGGCCTGTGGTTTAGTAGTAGTCTCCTTTTACAGTTTTGGGTTAATTATTTTGCAAAGATGGTAGACCTTGTGAAATAAAACTTTTGCCATTGAGTGGTCGTGCTCATTTACGCTGATTTGCTACATCCTCAGACGCTTTGTCGTCATTCTATTCTGTCTTCAGTGCAAGGCCACATTTAAAACTCGCCGGAAAGCCGAGTGTAGACAACATGTCAACCCGTTTTCTATTCAACAAAGTTGTTGTGGATAATTTCATTTTGTATGCAAGTGCGTGAAAAGGAGATTGCAAGGACGATCTCACCGGAAGACGGCTGGTGATTTGCGTTGTACTGCAGCGACGCTCAGGTTGACGAAGTCCACGAGACGTCGTTTCTCGTCCATTCTTCAAAGAACCTTGAATGAGCCCGAACTCTCTTCGGCAAAGTGTCCAATTAAACACCAATTAAAGAAGACTGTCCTGCTTACAACGAACAATTTTTTTGATACAGATGGCCACTGAATGGTTCGTTTAATACCCTTAAACTCGAGTGTGTCTTGCTAAGTGTGAGTGCTTCAACGTTTCAACGCAATACCGGCCATAATTCAAAGCCTTCACTTCAATATCATTTGAAGAGATTTATCGAAGATCGCTGTTTATTGGTTCATACAACTTTGTTGAGCTTACTTCCATTTCGAGTGAAAGTGTTGGGGGAAGAGATTCGAAGGTGGGTTCCATCAGAAGACGACGGCGGATTCTTTTTGACCAGCTGTCGATTGGCTTTCCAGGAAGATTTATGCTAAGCTCTCGTCCGTAATGTGATGAACATCATCAGAGCATCAAGGGTATCATCGCCACAACATAATTCAAGCTAACGAGTCAAGAAAACTCACCGCCAAATGCCTAATGGGTCGAAATGAAAGTAAGCTCAACAAAGTTGTATGGACCAATAAACAGCAAACTTTGTCGAATCTCTTCAAATGATATTGAAGTGAAGGCTCTGAATTATGGCCGATATTGCGTTGAAACGTTGAAGCACTCACACTTAGCAAGACACACTCGAGTTTAAGGGTATTAAACGAACCATTCAGTGGCCATCTGTATCAAAAAAAATTGTTCGTTGTAAGCAGGACAGTCTTCTTTAATTGGTGTTTAATTGGACACTTTGCCGCAGTGAGTTCCGGCTCATTCGAGGTTCTTTGAAGAATGGACGAAAGCACAGCCTATTTTCACTCGGAACGACTTCTCGTGGAAATTCGAATCGCTTCACGCAACACCTTCACTCAAGATGGAAGTAAGCTCAACAATTATGAACAACAACAACTTTTATTCGCACCTACCAAGTTTGTACCAGTTTAAAATAACAGCAGCATTTACTTGGGATCGCATGAGGTGAATTTTGCCACAATTGAACTAACAATCCTCTGTTAACGTATTCCACCTCCTCTTCAAGATTTGCTGAAGCTTTCGAAGCCTGTCCGGAAATGAATTTGCGCTTGGTCTGCAAGCTTCAGAATCAACTTTAGACAAAGTGGAAAAATGTAATAAGATGTAGTTGCACAACTTCCACAAGGTCATGAAAGAGTGGTATTGCGTATTTCCACAATCATATGAATAGGTATTATGCTTCCATCGAGTTTCACATGACCTTATCTCCTAAAATAGTAAACTGTAGTCTTAAAAACCCTTCAACTGGTCGTATCAGTGGCCCCAGCGGGACTTAAACTCGGCGTGTAATATTGCAGCGTATAATATCTACACTTTTACCTCCACGTCAACTATATTGGCTAAACCAATAGTCTGTGTTTCTTATTTCTCGTATCATAATTG